AAAAAAAATGGAAATGAAATCTATGTAAATAGGGAAGAGTGGAGGGGTGAAGGTTGCACAGGTAAGGGGGGAAAAAATAAGAACTAAGATACATCATGTACAGGTACAAGCACCCAATGATAAATGTAAACGTATTGTATACCTAAAATGTACCAATAAAAGAATTTTTTAATTTAAAAACAAAGTAAAATTAAAAAATAAAATAAATAAGGACTCCAAAAAAATCAGTCCCCCCCAAATTTAAAGACCCAATCCAAAAATGGGCATCTGAAATGAATAGACATTTCTCAGATGAAGAAGTGCAAACAACAAATAAATGTATGAAACAATGTTCAACATCACTGGTCATTTGAGAAATGCAAATTAAAACAACACTGAGATTCCATCTCACTCCAGAAAGAATAGGTAGCATCAAGAAATCAATCAATAACATGTTAGCACGGCTGTGAAGAAAAAGGAATCTTTGCATATCCTTGGAGGTCTCATCAAGGCTGGGCAACTCTGAGTCCATGTGTGCCCCCAAAACTATTTGCAGAACAAACAAATCCTGTGTCCTCCACCAGTACTTTTACAGTGGTACCTCAGTTCACACGTTCAATTCTCTCCATGATCCTGGTTGCACACTGAACTGGATAATAACCAAATTAAATTTCCCCATAAGGTCAACCTTGACCCTAACCATTGAATTTGATTTGGTTCTCATTCAACTTGGTTTGCGACCAGAATCATGTAAAGAATCAAGTTCATGAACCGAAGTACCACTGCATAATTATTACATCACCAATAGCAAGTATACGTTGAGTGTGTGTGCGTGCGCTATCTCATTTAAATCTTCCAATTAATAGATGAGGAAACTGAGGCTGAAGGATAGATGATTTGTCCAAGTTCAAACATATGTTTGTTAGGACTCTTTATATCCCAGTTAAAAAATCATACTTCAACATTAAACAGCTCTGTAGGCTTAGGTCTGGCCACATCCAGCAACCTGTCCCTGTCTGCCTCTCAGTTGCACTTTCCCCTGTGCTGGTCGCTGTGGTGGCAGGACCAGGCCCCATGTCTGCAAAATAGGCAGCAGTAATTCTCACTGTACATAGCAGTGAAGAAAATAGGTCAGAGAAAAGCCTCCCTCAAGGGCCTCTTATTAATTAGCTCTGACTGGCCAGCCATGGTCATGTGCACACTGCGTGGGAGAATGAAACCAGGAACTCAAACCCAGTGGAATCACAGGCTGTGAAGGAGGCTCGGTTCAAAAGTAAAACCAGAGGGAGGTTCTGTTTCCAGAATACAGGGGCTGTGGTGGGAGAGGGGAGTATGAAGGCTGGAGGATCAAAGACTGAAGCTGGACTGAACCAACCTTTAAGCCCAAACTCAACAATGCTGCACGTGTTCACAGACGCTGTGAACCTGAAACCTCTCAAGTTCTCCTCTCTGCTCCCGTAGCACTTTTCAGGTGCTTTTATCATTTTCCAAGTCACACAAAAACATGGGATTTTGTTTCCCATCTGGAGTCTATCTGGTGTGAAAATGTTTGTGGAAATGTGCATTTGTTCATGTCCTTGACCTGTGCTACATCAGCCCACCCTAGGACCCACACTTCTAGGCAGCCTCACAAAAGTGTGGAGGGCAACGTGAGACAGACAAGCCTGCAGACTTCAGAGATCAGGAGCCTGGAAAGTAAGAGACCAAGAGGCAGGGACTCCTGAGAAACAGACAAAGAGTTTGTTTTCAGGGGCTTCCCAACATTCAGTGGAAGTAACAACTCAGTAGAATAACTGAAGGATACTAAGCACTTGATTTGGTGGCATGACATGCTGTGCCAAGCCACCAGCAATGTTCTGGCTATGCCAATTATGACTGGAAATGTTGTCCCTTATGCCAGTTAAGAGTTCCCTAGAAAATCCCTCACTTCCTACCATGTGTAAATAAGATTAACACCAAGAAAAAAGTTTGTCCGTATGTTCTTATTTATAATTTTCCTGCTCAACCATCAGCTTACTGAACACCTTGATCATCTGCCTAAACCTGAGGAGCAGAGATTATCATTCTTGCAGAGAGAATTACTGACTGGACAGCCCCCAAACAGGAGGGAAGCTGTTACCAGAGTCATGGTCCGGGGGCCTGGGTCTGGGATCCCAATAAATCAGGTCTGGCCACTCACTCCAAAGAAATCCAACAAATAAGTAAAGGTGAAAGGAAATAAACTTTAATCAGTTCCCAGTGTATAGCTACACTGGGAAGACAAGGGAACCTGTGTTTTCAGCCTCATCTTTGAGCGTCGACGTGAACTCCCAGATTACAGAGACAAAGAAATTGGAAGTGTGCATAGTCAAGCAGTCTTGGGCAAAGGTGGTCTGGCTGATCATCACCTTGCGACTGGTCGGGGTGCCCTAGTCTGAACCAGTGATAAGGGAGGTGCTGTTGCTGGGTGTGGTGGCACACTCTTATAATCCCAGCACTTCGGAGGCTGAATAGGATGATTGCAATGAGTTCAAGGCCAGCCTGGGCTAAGAGTGAGTTCAAGGCCAGCCCGAACTGCCTAGTGAGACCCTGACTCAAGAAACCAAAAAAAAAAAGAGAGAGAAAAAGAAAGTTAGTTGCCTGTGGGTAGTTTCCACTCCACAAGATGTTCATGGATCAGATCTGTGGTCCCTAGAATCCAAGGGGACTGCCAGAGAGAATGACTCAAAGGCAGAGATGCCAAGTTTGAAAACCTGCTTTTAGTCACTCATTGGACATTTGCAGGCCCACATGAAGAGTCAGTATTTTTTTTCCATTAAGTTTATTGGTACATTTTAGGTATACAATACAGTTACATTGATCATTGGGATCTGGTACCTTTACACAAGTATCTTGATTCTTAGTTTTTTCCCCTTCCCCTGCCCTCCCGTCACCCCCTCCACCCTTCCCTATTTAAAAAGACTTTGTTTCCATTTTTTCCTTTTCTCATATTTTTTCTTTTCCCTTCTTTCCTTTTCTCTACACCCCTCACTTCCCCTGCTCCTTTAGACCTTTTCTTCCTATTTCACATTATCAATTATACATTTTGATCCTTATTTACACTTTTAGTTTTTCACACCAGAGAAACTATTTGGTATTTACACATGTGTGTCCTATTTATTTCACTTAAGGGTATGGCCTCAATGTGCATCCATTTAGCTATAAATGTCTCTAGTTTCTCTTTCTTTATGGCTGAGTAGTACTCCATTTTATTAAAAAACCCCACATCTTCTTTATCCAATCTTCAGTTGATGGGCAATTGGGCTGTTTCCAAGTTTTAGCTACTGCAAACTGTGCCTCTATAAACATGGGTGCACATATCTTTTGATTCTCTTGGGAAGATACTCAGTGGAGTAGATTAGAAGATGGAGGGCCAGGGATTTAGCTCAATGGTTCTACCACCTGCCTTGCAAGCGAAAGGTCCCAAGTTTGATCCCCAGTACCAAAAAGAAAAAGAAGATGCAGAAATAACTCCAGAAATACTCAGGTACCTCATCTTTGACAAAGGAGCCAACCATCCTCACTGGAGGAAAGATAGCCTATTTAATAAATGGTGTTGGAAAAGAGTGTTTTTAGTAAAAGTAGCCTCAAAGTCTTTGGTACAAGGCCATACACCCAATACACCAACCAAGGCCAGCTGTATAAAGTGGGAAGCAGGCACAGGGTCTGCAACTGTTGTAGAGATAGGAACACTTTCCTTGCCCAGAGATCAAGGGAGCAGAGGACCTGTGGCCAAGCTCAGTGGAGCCCACTTGCAAGAATTGGCCTGTTCCCCAACTCTCATTTTTCCATGCATTGTTGGGCTAAGTGACAAAGGACTATAAATGCCGAACCCAGGAATGTGTGTTTGGTTGCAGAAGCTGATTATCCTGGCTGTCAAGGGCAAGACGGTCACACTGCCTCTTTAAAGGATCCAAGCTGCAATCCCAGTATCTTTGGCTATGCCCTTTGCTATGTGCACACACGTATTTAATTATTAGTACTTTAATTTCCTACTGCGTGGCTAGAAGGGGTTATGAATTTTATACATTTTAATGTAAGGAAATAATTATTCTACAAACAGTGCCAAAATAAAATTTGCCAGCCACCTGAGGCAGTTCGGGGTCATTCTGTGGACACCTCCATGAGTGCCCACTTTCTTCCTCAATGGCTGACACCATGGGCGCTTCCTCTGTGGTTACTTTGTGGAGCTCCCTAGAGAACAATGCCAAGGCAACGAAGCTTTCCCTACCCCCTCACTTTAGACAGGAGTTTTAAGTCATCCCTGGCCACTCACCATGCATCCCTTGCAAAAATCTCATCAGAAGAGTCCTTGTCATGTAGCATAGGCGCAACCTTTCTCACATGTGAGGCACTGATAGGTCTACAGATCCCTCAGCCAAGGTGGCAAACCAAACCCCAGGGACGCCCTCCTGGAGAACAGATGGGGACTTAGGACTTCTGGTATCTCCTGCCTCTTCCACCCCAGTACCCAGTCCTCCTCAAATTTACCTTGTTTTCATGTTCCGTATTGCATCTCCCATGCCAATGTTGGGAAAAGCCCCTTGTAGGAAAACACACATGCAAGACAATTAGTGATTGCTGTTATTTTTCATGTCTCAAACAGCACACCTCAGGTCTCATTAGGACAAAACCTGTACCTTGGTCCATAATCACAGTGAGCAAGTTCACCCCAGACCTGGGGTCCTAAAAACAACTCCACAATTCTGGGCTTTCAGAGGCTCCATCTGTTACCAAGGGCCTCAGGAAGTCTCTGGGGAGACCTCTGTACCTGGCATAGCTGGAACACAAGCAGGTTATCATCCCCAATTATACCATAGGTCAGGTACCTCGTGCAGTGAACAAACTGCATGACCATACTGAGTGGAGGCGTTTCACTCTCTCCAGAGCCTTCCACATCAGTCCCCTGCACACTTAGTCCCACAGGCAACCTTCAATGGGGAAGAACTAGAAGGTGCTTCTATTTTCCTAGCTGTCTTATCCAAAAGTTGGCACATCAAGCAAATACCTAAGTCCAATTAGTAAAGTGGTACAGTTCAGAGATTTTTATAGCAAGGGCTGTCACTGATGAGTGAGTTGTGAAATCAGTTTAAAGGACATGAATAACCCTAAAACACAAGATGTCCTTTTTGAGTCACGTGTGGTGTACACACTTGTAATCCCAGCATTCTGGAAGGCTGAGGCAGGAGGATGGCAAGTTCAAGCCCACCCTAGGCAACTTGGCAAGATCCTGGTCTCAGAATAAATAAATTAATTAATTAATGGAAAAAAAAGTTGGGTATGTAGCTTAGTGAAAAGGTTCTGGGTTCAGTCTCCAATACCACTGAGAGATAAAGAGAGAGAGAGAGAGGGAGAGAGAGCACTTTTTGGAATACAAACAGAGAAAATCAACACACCATTTCAGAAACTACTGCAATATACAAGGTCTATACACACTGACTCATGATAGAACATGGCTCACAGCCCAAGCACCGTATAACCAGAGAAGTGTCCAGCTGCTGGGAAGGGAGAGCTGTCTTTCTGACACTCACCAGCAGCGTGACCACAAAGCAAGATAGTTTCCCCTTCTTCTTCACCATTTCATTATTACAAAGGAAGAGACAAACTACCATCATGTAGTTCTCTCCCAGAGAGAAGGCTGTGAGGTCTGAGTAAATGGAACAGAGGATGACAAGGGAACAGGAAGCGTGCGAAGGTGCACTTCCGCCCCCTCCGAGGAAGGATGCCTACTCCACCCTCCAGCCCCAGCCAAGCTCCTGGGCCTCCATGAAGGCCTCTGGCTGTGCGCTCTCCACAGCAGTAGGCGTGCCAAACCTATCGCCTCCACCCTCGGCACTGGATGTCTGGTGATATCAGGTGCCTTCCCTCTCCTCAGGCCCATCTCAGCTTTGCTGGAGCCAAGTGAAACCCCAGAGAAAGGAAGGGGTCTTCTGCCACAGGTGGGCTCCACAATATGACATCAGGGATTTAAATAGATGAGTTCTAAATCCACCTCTAGTTCTAGCTCTACTTCTAGCTCTAAGGTTCTCATTTAAAGATCAGCAAACTCATATTTACCTTGAGAACCCTTCTTCATTGTCCTCTGAAGATCTTTTATGGGAATAAATCTGTTTTGGAGAAAACAGAGTCATGAGTATCCACTATCTCCTGGTCTTTACTTGTTCCTTTTCTTTATCCTAAATCTTATCGAGCCAGGGGTGGTGGCCCACACTTGTGATCACAGCACTCAAGGGGGCTGAGGCAGGAGGATTGCCATGAACTGGAGGCCAGCCTGGGTTACAAGATGAGTTCAAAGCCAATCTGAGCTACATAGTGAGACCCTGTCACAAAAAAACAAAACAAAAACAAACAAACTGAAAGTTTTATTTCAGTGAGTGGTAACATTTCTGAAGACAGGAATTTTACCTTGGTAATCACAGTTCATTGACTTTTCCAAAGCACCTACCTTAGATTCTTGCATAGTGCTGGCATGGTTATTTGTTTGTTGTACAATACTAGGGATCAAAACCAGGGCCTTTGCTCTGAGCTACATCCCCAGTCCTTTTTTCATATTTTTTTTTTTGAGACAAAGTCTTGCTAAATTGCCCAGGCTGTGCTCAAATTTGTGATCCTCCTGCCTCAGCCTCCCAGAATGATGGAACATTTCAGGCATATGCCACCACTCCTGGGTACTTAATATTTTATTGGCTATTTTAGATAAAATTTAACAGATAATTCCTAATAAAAATTCTTAACAGAAAAGAAGGAAACATCCTTAACTTGATAAGAAGATCTAACAGAAATCTAAACAATAATGTTGTTTTAAAATCAAGAACAAAACCAGGTATGGTGGCATATGCCTGTGGTCTCAGCACTATGGGAGGCTGAAGTGGGACTATTACAAGTTCAAGTTCAGCCTGGACAACTTAGCAATGCCTCGTCTCAAAAGAAAACATAATAAAATATTTTTAAAAGCTAAGATGTAGCTCAATGCAAAGGCCCTGGGTTCAAACTCTGATACTGTGAAAAATGGCATAAATAAATGTTTAAAAATCAAGAAAAAGAGTAGGCTGCCTGTCATTACTACTTCTCTCCATCCTTACTGAAGGTCCTAATGTAAGTATTGGAAAGAAAAGGCAAAACCATTGGTATTTGTATATGAAATGAAGGACAACAAAAACAGCCTGCAAGAATCAATAAAAATGTTTTTGGAAGTAATATGAGCATTCAGTAAGGTGGCCAGATACAAAATTAATAGATCAGCACACAAACCTCATTTCCTTTCCTAGGTACCACAAATACTAATTAGAAAATGGGAGAAAAGTTCCATTTACAATAGCAATAAAAATGTAGGGAAAAAATAAATAAAAATAAAAGTGTAGGGAGAGGGCTGGAGATTTAGCTCAGTGGTTCTGCCACCTGCCTCACAAGCAGAAGGACCCAAGTTCAATCCCCGGTACCAAAAAAAAAAAAAATGTAGGGAGCAATTAAAATGTAGTCAAATAACTCAACAAAAAATGGTTAGATCTGCACAGTGAAAACGCTAACAATCACCCTGATCTCCTGGGTTCAAGTGGCTAAGGAATACCATCCACCCCACCCCCACCCCCACCCCGCACTGAGGGAATCCATTCTGACCTCTTGGGAGTTTTGAAGGGAGCCCCTGCTGGGTGCACCTCTCTCTCTAGGGAGTCAGTGGGCCACAGTCTAAGGGAGCCCCTGGGCTCCACCTTGATCTTTAAGAGTGTACTGTGTCTCAAGTGGCTGAGGGAGTCCCTGGATGGAGAACTCCACCCTGATCTTACAGTCATTTCCAAGAGTCCCTCAGAAGGCTCCATCCTTCTCCCTAAGGAGTTAGTGGGTCACAATACGGAGGGACCAATGCTAAGAGAGCCCCCACAGGGCTCCACTCTTCTAGTAAGGCACCAGTCCTTCCTCCACAGCTTCAAACAGATATCTGCTTAGTAAGTAGTTGAGTCTCAAAAGAGACACTTTGTGAACTCAAAAGGTCCCCTCCTTCTGCATGGGACATCATTTGAAGAGCCCCAGGCCTAGTCTCTCTCTCTCTCTCTCTCTCTCTCTCTCTGTCTCTCTCTCTTTCCTTAGGCCCCAAGACAAGCCATGGGAAACACCATGAACAGCAACCCTGAAGATCCCACCAGTGACACCACTAGGCCATATCCTTGATCAGTGAGGACAGTTTGATTTTGTCAGTTTGAAAAAGGAATATCTATTATTTTAATATGGTTTGGGTCCAGCATGAACTAAGGAATGGTGAGAGATTGGCACAGAATGGCAGTTTAAGTTATGAGACTATTTTTCAGTTCAATAATTTCTGCACAAAGCATAGAAGGTAGAATGAAATCCCTTATATGCAGGGTTCTGTGACCCTTAATCTCTGGGAAAACCCAGAAACTATAATATTTAGAGTGGTCCCTGAGGAAAAGAGGGATATAGTTGATGAATCTGTCCTTGGATCTGCACCTGTCTCTCAGGTGGATTATAGGTTTATTCCATCTGTTTAATGAAGACAACCATACCGAGAGGTCTCCTCAACTTCCTCCTTATAATCCTGAGGCCAGTAAATCAGACCTCTCCCCTTCAAGTGACTCAGGAACTGCCAGAACCTAGCACCCCCAGAAGAACTCAGTATTCCTCAGGCCCCTCATCATGCTCCTCAAACAGGTTTAAGCCCTACAGGATGTACTCAGAGTGGCACTCCTTACTCTTCTAACACAACTCATCCTGCCCATGAGAAGAGGTCCCAGGAGCAGAGGGGGCTACTTGAGTCCAAGTCCCCTTTTCAGTTGTAGATACCCAACAATGCAAAGAATGCCTAGACTAACTTTCAGAGGATCCTAGTAGGTTTGCACATGGGTTTCAAAATTTGACCCTTGGTTTTGAACTATCATGGTGAAATGTCCAATTCATCTTGGCCACTCACTGTACCCCAGATGAAAAATGAAGAATCCTAGAAGAGGCTAAGAGCTATGCAAATGAACAAACCACACAGTGGTACCCTAGTTCATGAATGCTTTTGGCAAATTTTGTTTTTGTTTGCAAATTCTGCATCAGGTGACAAACCCAACCATGGCCATCTTTCCCACACAAACACAAATGTGACCATCCTCTCCAAAATCATAGAACAAATCAAGTTCATGAACTGAGGGACCACTGTACCATTTCCATTCTACATGGAGACATCAGGACTCCAAAAAGGTCAAGAATGTCAACCAGACCCTAAAGCAAGCTCTAGCATTTGCCAAGAGACTTCTGAGTCTTCGCTCTGATTATTGCCAATAGCCTTCATGAGGATTTGAAATACCTCAAGAACTGGGACTAAATATGAGTCCATTTGAAATGTTATATGGGAAGCCTTTTCTATCTTCTGATATGGTAATAGACACAAAGACCACAAGACTCTTACAATATCTTATTACTCTAGACTAAGTACAACAGGCTATCCAACTGTATGGAAACAAAGTCCTATTAGCTCCTGGCCTAGGGGGACCACCTCGTGTCCACCCTGGAGACCAAGTACTCATCAAAATTTGTAAGGAAAGGACTCTTGGTGACCAATTAAAACCAAAATGGAAGGGCCCCTTTTCAGTGATCTTTGACACACCTACTGCAGCAAAGGTGTCAGAGATAGCTGGATTCACCTTTATAGAATAAAGTCAGCCCCACTTGAATTGTCTGAAGAAAAAAACCACTCAAAAGAAGAAAGCTACTCCTCTGAACCTCTGGAAGACCTGAGGCTTCTCTTCAAAAAGCAATATACTGGGCCAGGGATTTAGCTCAGTGGTTCTGCTGCCTGCCTTGCAAGCACAACATCCCGAGTTTGATCCCCAGTACCAAAAAAGACAAAAGACCAAAAAAAAAAAAAGAAAAAAAGGCAATATACTGCTCTGAGTGTAGATAAGTAGAGTCACTCATGATCCTAATTCACCACAGCTTAAATGGGCATCTGCATTGAGACTCCTATTTTTAAGTAGATCTATAATGTGGATACTCTTGCTAAGGCTATGGCTCTCAGGCTCTTAGATAATATAGCTAATGTCCCTCTTTGCCACACATTCTCCTCCACAGGAAGCATGGGAATCTGAAAAGCCATCCTAGGGTATCCAGTGAATCTGAAGCCAGCCTGATCTACACAGCAAGACCGTAACATCAGTGGTTCATGGCTATAACCCTAGTATTCTGGGAAGCTGAGGCAGGAGAACTGAAAGTTTGATACCGGCCTGGGCAACTTAGCAACTTAAGGAGACCCTAATAAAGAAAGGGCTAGGGATGCAGGTTAGTGCAGAGCCCCAGGGTTCAACCCCCAGTATTACACAAAAACAAAAACAAAAAACAAAAAGTTTGGGGGCTTCAAAGGACACTAGTAAGATGATGAAAAGATAGTCAATAATAGAATGGGAGAAACAGAATATCCAGCATTTATAAAGAATTCTTACAACTCAATAAAAAGATACATAAGGATAAAATGGGGAGAAGATATGAAAATATTTATTCAAAGAAGACACACATGGTCGATATGCTAATGAAAAGATGCATGATATCCTATTATTCCCCAATGTAAATCAAAGCCACAATGAGATATTTGTTTGCACTCACTACTAGGATGGCCATAATAAAAAGACAGGTAATAACAAGTGCTGACAGAGATGGAGAAATTGGAAGCCTCATACGTCGCAGGTGGGAATGTACACTGGCACAGCCACTGTGGAAAACAATGTGAGAGTTCTTCAAAAAAATTAAACACATAGTCACTTATGACCCAGCACTTCCACCCCTAGGTGTACCCCAACAATTAAAAATGTGTGTACACAAAACTTGCATTAACTGTTGATAGCGGCACTATTCATCACAGCCAAAATGTAGAAGTGACCAAAATGTACATTAGTTAATGAATAGATAAACAGAGATAGGGAACATCTATACAATAGGATATTATACAGGCTTAGAAAGGAATAAAGTAATGATAAATGTCACAACATGGGTGAACCTTGAAAACCACATGCTATGTGTAAGAAAACAGACACCAAAAGCCCCATACTATATAATTTGTTTACATGCAATGTTTTGAATAGCCATATCCAGAGGGAGAGAAAATAGATTAGTAGTTGCCCAGGGGAGAAGGAAATGGGGAGTGATCACTAATTGAAACAGTGCTGCCTTTTTGGGGTGATGAAGATGCTCTGGAATTAGATAATAGAAGCTGATGCATAACCTTGTGAATACTCTAAACATGACTGAATTGTACTTTATAATGTGGCATTTTTGTTTTAAAAAGAATCATGCTGTTATATATGGAGGACCAAGTGCCATAAGCCCAGTCATGTGGTGGATGACAAAAAGAGGAATGAACTTTCAGCCTCTTCCTTGGCCATGGTCAGAGTGAGTTGGTGGTGAGGCTGGGAGCCACATATCTTGTTCTTGCCTGGGGAGCTTCCCCATTTAGTACATCCTTCCAAATATGTCTCAGCTTGCCCGATTTGTAACATTAGTTAATATTCAATAAGATTGTTATGAAGAGAAAGAATATGAATGTCACATGACTGTTAGCACTGTTCCTCAAACTGCAACTTTAAACACACTTTTTGGGGGGGAGTGGCATTAATCACTATAAGGTCACTCACTGGTGGTCTCTGTACAAGTAGAGTCCTCCACCTCTGCCTCTCCTCCTGCTTCTTTTACCCCAGCAACCAAGAATGACTGTGAAGCCTCAGCACAGTGGAGCACACCTGAAATCTCAGCACTCTAGGAGGCTGAGGCAGTAGGGTCAAAAGTCTGAGTGCAGCCTGGGCATTTAGCAACTTAGGTAGACCTTATCTCAAAATCTTTATTTTGACTGGGGATGCAGCTCAAGGCAAAGGCCCTCAGTTCGATCACTGATACCACAAAACAAGAATGACTGTATGGATATGAGGTCCTGTCTACACTGGCCAATGAACAGGAACCTTGTGGATGCCCAGAAGTGTCATGGCCAGGTCAGGAACTGTAGAAGTGTGAAATTTGTTCAAAGCATTTGGAGCTCTCTGTTCCAAAGGTCCAACTGAAGTTAGAAACCACCTTCAACATACAATGCACAAAAAGCCAAATTGTTATTATCAGTCAGTTCCTAGTACAAGGGAACAAAAGCTGAATAGAAAACTGCATGCAGGGCTTGGGATTTAGCTCAGTGGTTCTGCCACCTGCCTTGCAAGTGCAAGGATCTGCGTTTGATCCCCGGTGCGAAAGAAAGAAGGAAGGAAGGAAGGAAGGAAGGAAGGAAGGAAGGAAGGAAAGAAAGAAAGAAAGAAAGAAAGAAAGAAAGAAAGAAAGAAAGAAAGAAAGAAAGAAAGAAAGAAAAAGGAAGGAAGGAAGGAAGAAAGAAGGAAGAAAACCACATGCAAAGCTCACGTGTGGTCCTGACACTTACTAATGGCATGAACCTAGGTGACTTACTCAAGGCTTCTGAGTTCTAACTTTCTCATCTTTGAAATGGAGGGAATAATAGCAACATTGCAAGAGTTGTTGGAAAAATGCAAATGAAGTGACATATTTGAGTACTTGCCACGTGCTAAGCACCAGTCTAAGAACTTTCAGCATGTTACCTCATTCGCACATATACTTAATGAAGTGCCTAGAACATAACAAACACCTAATAAATGTAGCATTGAAGAAGTGTGATGGGGGAGGAAGAACTACTACACTTCCAAGAGCAGAGAAGATACCTGGGGCAGGGGTAAAATGCACCTGGGAGAAGGAAGATACAATAGTTGCTGGATGTGACACCCGAAACTTCTGCAGCTTTACAAGTTACACAGCCAACCTGTATCACCCCAGAGGACAAACCTGACTTGCTATTTTCATCTTTCGTGTGTCTGCCTCTGAGGCTGAAAAGAAGCTGCCAGGGTCCCAGCACAGACCACGAAGTGATGACCACATCCCTGAGGTGAGCAAACATCACATCTATAGTGATCCACGGGAAACAGGTGAGTGGACTTCAGGGAGCAGGAGGCTGTTTCTGGGACCATGGCTCAATTTGCCTTTTAATGTGGCCACACTGAACTCATGAACATTCTAGTATGGGATAAATACTTCAACAGGGACAGACTTGGCTCTTCCTCTTATTCTCTTTTAGGGTGTACATTCTGGGCACAATATTGACTTCTAGACAAGCCAGCATGTGAATGTACTCTCTCTGAATATAGTAGAGTCTTTCTACCTCATAAAGTCCTTCCATTATCTGAAAGTATGGAGCTTGTATTGTTAGAACTAATGAAGTGACTAAAAGAATTTTTAAAAAGAAGCTATCAGTATGGACCCGTGAAGGTGAATGAAGGAGAAACACTTTAAAGTCAGGAGGGAAAGTATACTTAACATTTAAGATTATCAACCACTGCCAGTTTTCCATAATATATTTCATTCCTGATTTCATCTGAAAGAGATATGATTATTACTACCATTCAAAGACTGGCACCTTACTAATGAGTTCTTGGAAAGTCTTGGAAGTGGGTTTCAGTTTCAAAATAGACTGATCCCACTACCCTGCTAACCTCTTGTGTCAATGTTTATCAATAACATAGAAGCTTTACCAAGAGATTAACTATGTTATAATTACCTGGAACTCAGGGGTGAATGCAGATTTTGTGGGGCCTGAAATTTATGAAATTTGCAAAGTGCTTTCTAATGAAAAAACAAGCAAAATTTATGCATACAAAAATTGCTAGGCCCCTAACCAGGACTTTGGAAAAGGCCTGTGCAACCAAGGAGCCCTGGAGCTGAGGCTCCATTCAATTCATGATAAATTCACTTCAGCTGTGGCATTTGTACAGACTTTCGTAATGCTGGGAAAAAATAGTGCTGTATTTCATCTTATAATCAGCCCCAGGACTGAATCTTACTGGTCATAAAATTATTGTTATCTTAACTTGGCAACTTCCCTTTGGAAAGAGATAAAATAGGATTCTATCTCACTATGGCAAATGTTAAACTAGCTTTGTCTATTAGCAAAGATTTGACCCAAAACGAAGGTGCCCAGCCACAAACACACACTTTGTGGATTGTGACCACTGTGTCAATCTTTTCTATTTTTTCAGGGGAGTTAGGGCCTCACTATGTTCCCCATGTTGGCCCCCAAACTCCTGAGCTTATATGGTCCTCCCTGCTTCCACCTCCTGAGTAGCTAGAACCACAAGTACATGCCACACTTGGCTCACTGTGCAAATCTATCAAAGCAACTGTAAATTGGTTTGAGAGGCACAGCTCCATCCAGATCACATGATATGAGTATTAATGTCAACATGAGTTAGCTCTCATTTTCTCATCTCCATGAAGCAACTGTCTTTCTGTTAAGATAAACCTTAAAATCAGATGTAATAAGTTGGTATCTCCTCCATTATGGGTTTTTTCTAACCCACCACCCATTCCCACTTAGCCTCAAAAGCAAACTCTCAGTGTTCATTCTCCCAAGTTGCACATCAGATTGATGAGGGGAGAGAGGAGGTCACTACACTTGAGGATGCAGGTGAAGTTAACCAGCTCCAGGCACATCCTAACCCTCCCTCCTCCAGGGAACTCAAAATAAACTGTGAACCTGGATTTTGAACCCACAAGACAGGTGGACAATCTTTCCCAATGTCAGGTATACAGAAAAATTTTCACCTTGAGTCTAAAATCCCCTTAGAATACCACAGAATTTTTCAGCTGAAAGGGAATAAAACTCTCCCTTCTTGTCAAAGGTAGCAGGAAAGGAAGTATATAGAGTTAGGCTACAGGAGTGATGATGAACCTTTTAGAGCTTTCAATAATATCAAATAGCTGGCTGTGACACACGTGCTATAGGTTCACTACCACTGGGCTAGAGCAATGTTTTTTCTTTACATATATTTTTTGCACTCTAACAACATAAACACCATCTTCTGCACATTTCAAAGGTCTCTATTGATGACAGATAATCCATAACTTCAGAAGTACATGCTTTTTGAAATATAACATTCTGGGTGGGTAGGGAGAGGAGTGCTTGGCAGTAAACTTTCAGAATTCTTTCTGTTTTCCCATTTAGAAGACACTGGCATTGAGAAAGCACCTGCACCTTTTGCTCCCTGGAGCACATTGCATTAAACTTAGTTCTTTGAAGCTCTATATTGCATATATTTGAGCAGTTAGAACTCTGCGTGTGAGAAGGAATCAGAGTTAAACTCACAAGTGGAATTTCAGGACCATTCACATGTGAGAGCAGCATCCCTGAGCTTCCAATAGTGCTAATTTGAGTGTTACTTGTGTGATACCTTGTATTGCCCATGCCAAAGATCAGTGCCTGGGAATGCAGAGCATGTTACCTAGAAGTTACAGAAGTCAAGCCGGGCATGGTGGCACATGCCTATAATTCCAGAACTCAGGAGGTTGAGGCAGAAGAAATGTCATGAGTTTGAGGCCAGCCTGGGCTACACAGTGAGTACATAGCCACCCTGGAATACAAAGCAAGACTTTGTCACACAAAAAAGTTATATACAAGTCTTCTCTTGGCCTTTTTGTACTTTAGTTTCCTCATTTGAAAATAATGAATGGAGTCCATGGCCATACCACCCTCAATGCACTCAATTTCATCTAAAAATAATGAATGGGTCGTAAGACATACTTTTCAGAGTTCATACAGGACTTGACCCAGCTAACCAATAACTGCAAGAAGTTAACCCATGGATTTTGTTTTTACACATTTTTTGTTTTCACATGTATTTATCACTTTTTTCACTTACACTTGGTATAAAAACTGCATCCTATGCCATGCTTGAAATGTTCCAGAGCTCAGTTCTGTGAGTAAATTACAATGAAGATTTCTACAAAAAAAGACATAAGCCAAAGAAAAAAGATACTCTTTCTGAACATTTATCATTTGGCAGTGATCCTAAATGACATACAATGAAACATAACTTTCAATGCTTTTTCCATATAAAAAAGAAATCTCACTGGAAGAAACTGGCTTATAATTTATACTTTCAGGGCTGGTGGTGTAGCTTAGTGGTAGAGCACTTCCCTAGCATGCACAAGGCTATGAGTCCAATACCAAGTACAGTATAATTTATATTTTCATATTTACACCTGTGATGCATTAGATACAAAAGAGTGAATGCTTAATAAATATGTGTTGAGTGATCTTTTTTTCTCTAGAACAGGATTTCACAACTTCAACACTATTGACATTTTGAGCTGGACAATCCTTTGTTGTGAGTATCTGACTGAACAGTACAGGATGATTAGCAGCATCCCTGGTCTCTGCCCACTAGATGCCAATGGCAGTATCCACAGTGCCACATGCCCCCTGGGTGCAAAATCATACCAATTTAAAAATCACTGCTCTATAATGATTCTCTCTGACCTGAGCACTAATCCTCATACTGATCTTTGGTAGAGATTAAAAGGATTTCAAAATGAGTAGCAACAAGGTTTATAAAATTGCAAATATAATGAGGTTATACTTGTAACTTACATGAAGTGCAAAAAAGGTAGTGCTTCAAATGTATGTCTTTCAATAGACTGTATTTTATTGCAGAATAAATCTCTAGGAAAAGTTAAAGAAAAATATTGCCTTGAGTAGCTATTAGATATCTAATTAGAATGAATAAATACTAGACTTTAGAATTGATAGTACTGAAAAAATATTTTTATCTAAACTAAATCTTTACACTTGTATTTGATATTCTGGACCCCATACCCTGTCTATACTTCCTCTAAGATTCTCACATTTATGATCTTCATAAATAAAATATACAACTATAAAAAACATATATATACAACTATAGATCCTTTTTTGTTTGTTGTTTTTTGACTCTGCTTTAGGTAGTCCAGGCTGGCCTTGAACTTGCTATGTAGCTCAGGCTGGCCTCAAACTCACCGTTTTCTTGTCTCAGCCTCCCAAGTGCTACGATTACAGCTGCACCATTCAATTTCTTTTTAATAGTTATTTTTACATTCTCTTCCTTCCAAGCATAAACTCTTTTTTTTTTCCTTTGGTTATTTTTTTTTTTTTGTACCAGGGCTCGAACTTGGGTCCTTGTGCTTGTGCAGCAGGCGGCAAAACCACTGAGCTAAATCCCTGGCCTAGGTGGCCCAAGCATAAACTCTTTGAAAGCATAAAGTAGGTCTCACTCATCTGCCTTGTTTTTTTGTTGTTCTTGTTGTTGTTGTTTTTTGGTACCAGGGATCGAACTTGGGTCCTTCAGCTTGGGAGACAGGTGGCGGAACCACTGAGCTAAATCTCCGGCCCTCACTCATCTGCTTTGTACACCATGTGTGAGAATGACACACTATTTGATCAAATTTAAATATTTATCAACTAAATGAACAGCTGGTAACGAATAGAAGAAAATAATTATTTTAGAATGAATGCAGTTTATTACTGCATGGCTCACTCCTCTCCTGCACCTCTGCAGCACTCACTTTGAGCTCACATGTTTGTGTCGTGTCAGACCCTATGATTGGCATTTTTAGATGAATGGGAATTCATGTGCCACTGTGAAATAATTAGGCCATAGAGTACTTTACAATACAAATATGAATGGCAAATTCCATTGAGCATCTTATTTGTTTCTCTCCAAATGCTGTTTGTAAGGTTTGAGAACCCAGAGGACAAAGGGTCTTCTCAAGAAGACCAATAACAAAGTGCTCATTCCCTTAGGGCCTAGAAGGATTCATAATTCAAAAAACTATTTTTAGGCCCATATGAGGTTCTTAATACCCCTTTTCTTTAAGCCTTCTACATTTGAAACAATATTCTCTTTGCTGTTTCACTAATTGGCTTACTTAGGGTTAATGACATTCACACTTCTGGACCCCATGGACAAAAATAAAAATCACACTTTCACACCAAAGAACATAATGTCTTCTTTTCTCCAAACAGATAAAAATACTATGCCTAGTATTCCTTCTTTGGCAAGAAGGCTGGAGAGATTTTTATTGTGTTATTAGTAAGCAGAGGCATTTCTATGCTGAGTGTAAACATTTCTAGCTAAACCATTTAACCATCACTTTAAATATCTGCTTTTAACATGTGTAACAATACCTGCATTGAAATACTGTCAGTCTGTTCTGGTAGCTTAACCATCTTGATAATATTATTATTGAAATTTACCTGCATAGTTAACTATTTAATACTTAAGTGCTAATTTCATTCAGATTAAATTGTCCAAGCACTCTGGGTTAATTTCATTTGAACTAACATAGATGGTCTATATTTTCTTCCTGTGTAAGCAACATTCTAAGCCATTCTAAGGTTAATTTTAATTCTTCTTCTTTTCTTTTTTTTTTTTTGAGACAGGGTCTTGCTATGTAGCTCAGGCTGGCCCTGAACTCACTATGTAGCCCTGGCTGCCCTTGTACTAGTGTCAATTCTCCTGCCTCAGCCTCCTGAGTGCTGGGATTGTGCACCTGACTTTAATTCCTTTTGTTCTAATCCAACTTTTTCAAGCCTTTTTTATTCTGGTAAATCCCACATAGCAAATACTTTAGACTTTACAGGCCACATATAGTCTCTGTTATATATTTCTGGGGTTTTTTCTTTTTCTTTTATAGCACTTAAAAAATACAAAAACCATTATTAGTTTATGAACTAAATAAAAACACAGATTATGGATCAATTTGATCCACGGGCCAAAGAGTAAATATAAATACAAGCCAGTGGCATACAAACACTTAGAAAACAAGGTTCATATTAGTGCCAGTAAATGCTCAGGGCTTATTACCACTTTTCCTCTGTAAGTGGAGTTTTTCCCATTTGTATCTTGTCTATATAATTTGAAGAGTGAAAATGCATGTAAGGCATTTGATGATAGACACAGACTGAGACCTACACAGACTTACATAATTGCAGAATATTATTAGTGGAAGAGATTTTGGAGAACATCTAATTTGAACTCTGTACTCATTTTATAGATAACATATAACTCATAAATAAATATGATTAACTAACTTACAAATACTGCAGAGACAGCAGGCCTTCAAAGGAATCCTTACGTAGTTCAGTGACGTAATTTTCACTGAGATTTCTGGAAAATGAAAAGGTTATTTCTGAATCAAACTTCATCAGAAGCATGAAGACTATCCAGTGGTTGAAAAGTGTGAGGAAATAAATAGATTCTGCCGCCTGGGGTGTGGTAGCACAATGTTTTTTCAGGGCAATTAAAGTCTGAAATCTAAAATAGCTTCATGCCAACAATTCCTTTTCTAGGTACCTGTTCTACAGGAATACTTGCCCATGTTCACAAAGAAGCATGTACAGGAATGTTTGCTGCATGATACAGGTAACAAGAAAACTAAAGAGAACCCACCCCAAATAAAAGACTAAACCAAAAAATGGGCAACCAGAATGAACAGACACTTCTCAGAAGTACAAATGACCAATAAATACATGAGAAAATGTTCAATATCTCTGCCTGTTAGAGAAATGCAAATTAAAACAACACTGAGATTCCATAGCTATAATCAAGAAATTAAACAATAGGGCCAGGATTTAGCTCAGTGGTTCGCCATCTGCCTCACAAGCACAAAGTCCTGAGTCCGATCCCCGGTACCAAAAAAAAAAAAAAGAAGAAATCAAACAATAACAAATGCTTGTGAGGCTGCAGGGAAAAAGAAACCTTGTTCATGGGAATGTCAATTAGTACAATCACTATGGAAACTGATATGGCAATTACACAAAAATATAAAACTAGAAATTCCATTCAACCCAGGTTTTCCCCTTCTAGGTCTCTTCCCAAAAGAGTTAATGACGTCATATTACAGTGATACATGCACACATATATTTACAGCAGCACAATTCATAATAGCTAAATCTTAGAAGCAGCCTATTTGTCCATCAACAGATGAATAGAGAAAATGTGGTATTTAAACACAATGAAGTACTACTCTGACATAAAGAAGGATAAATATGAGTCATTTTTAGGAAAATGGATGCACTTTGAGACCATAATGTTAAGTAAAATAAATCAGACACACAAGCTTAAATATCACATGGTTTCTCTTATGTAAGAAACCCAAAGTATAAATAAAGAGCAAAATAGAAAATAGCAAGTAGGAAGACAGATCTTTCTCAAAGGGGAAGGGGATCAAGAGATGGAGGGGCAGGTAGGGAGAGCAACAACACATTCAGAGAGGTGGGCAAGAAGAGCCAGGACCGCCAGGTCGTGATAAATTGGGCCATTCCTGAAGGTAGACATACAGTCAAGCTACCCAGACCGTCCACCAGGGCAGGATGCCAAACCCGTGTAAGGCCTCCACTTTGGCAGCAAGGAGGATGCCAGTGTCACCGCAAGTGCCACGATGCAAGCCTTAGAAGTGCAGAATTCACAAAGCAGGGCCAACATTGCCTAGACAGAATTCACAACTAACTACCTGCTCAAGTGGAAAATAGCCCATCCCAAGAAGAATTAGAAATTCAGAGAAGGTTACTGCAAGAACAACAGTGACAAAAGGAGGAGGTGGAGAGGGGAAGTCCAGAGAGAGAGAATGGAAAGGGAAAGGCTAGAGAGAGCCTGGAAAAGGAGCACTTAGAACAACTGGAGAAAAGAAGAAGAACGCAAACACAGAAATGGCTTGATCAAGAGCAGATGGAGCCGCAGGAGTGTGGAGAACACTTTGAAATAAGATGGAATTGTATAACCCTAAGTGTGCTGTAACCCTAGAGTGTGTTGTGACTTTAAGAGTGCTGTAACCTAAGTATAACACAATCATAAGAGTGATGTGTAACCATAAGATATGAAAGTAATGAAAGTAGAACCTTAAGCGGTATGGAACTGATAAGGGTTGCCCTGAACTGGACAGGGTGTACCCCGAACTGGACAGGGTGTGCCCCGAAATGGACAGTGTGATAATATGTAATAAGTCTGAACCAATACCACAAACACCCAGTTAGAATAGTATAAAAGGAGCTGAAGACTCCAAGCGAGTCGACGATCCGTCCCACTGACCAGTCGACCAGTCACTCTGCTGATCTGACTACCGACCGAGACATCTGCACACCTGATCCCGCTGGAAGGAGCATCGCCACCGATCAGACGAGACCAGAAGACGAGGCAAGCGGAGAGGTGGATAGCCTAGCACCGACTCGACGCCCTTTGTCTACGGATCGGACCCTCTGACCCTCCGGGAGGAAACGTCGCGCTCCCATAAGGACTTGCGCAGTACAGGTACAGGGACGTGGTAATTGGCAGACTTAATATTGTGTGATAACTGTATTGGAGTGAATTATGATAATATAAGATAAGTGTGTGAACTGCCATTCGAGTCCGAGTCCTCTTTACCCACGGTACCTGCTCACGACAGCGAGCAGCTGGAAAGGGAGCAGTTTGAATGGGAGGGAGCTCAGAGTGTCAAGCGCTGGCCTTGTCTTGGGACCACCTGCACCTTCAGCCCCTCCTCTGCTCCCCTCAGTCCTGCCCAGACCTTAGCCCTCCCTCCACCCCCGGAACCCTCACCGCAGTCATCCCCGTGCTCTCTTCTGTGTCTCCCACTCACACTTTTATTCCCCTCTTTCCAGTCAGACGCCCCTCCACCAACTCTTCCTGCCCCATCTCTCCCTGAGACTGGATTTTTCTCTGGACTACACGAGTCTAACTTTAACTGGACTTAAGCTGCAATTGCTGGAGCAAAAGTTTGGAAAGTATCATGGGTGGAGAATGTCTCTTTTCCTAGTGGAGGGAGTTCCACTGGTGTAAGCCTCATCCAATGCCAGTCGTGTGTCGTGGGAATGGGCCCCTTCCTCTAGGGACCAGTGATTTAAGGGAAGACCTGAGTGCCTCTGGATAGGAGAACTGCTCAAGAAATCAACAATAGAAGCAGAACAAAGAGAGGACAAAAGCGAAGATACTGATCTTAGAGCTTTTAAGACCTCTTCAACAAGTATGCCTGAACCCATAGAAAAAGCAAATGTAGTGAATAACAGCAAATGCCTGTTATCTCCAGACCAAAATCCATACTTTTGTCACAGACCTGTGCCAGTGGCATCCGGACAGAAGAACTCAGCTAAACAGGCTAAAGCAGGACATTTTAGATGAAACAAGAAAAGAACTGACAAAACTAAAGAGCTTGTTGATGCAATCAGGCAAGAATTGAGAAAGTCAAAGATGGCATAGAAAAGCGAGAGAGAGAGAACTTTAATGGGGGGGGGGTGCTGAACAAACAGCAACCTTCAGCAATGCTCTATGATGTTGCAACTGTGAGAAGGAAATGGAGACGGAGTCAGAAGAAGGTAACCAGCATCCTCTGAAAGCTTGCAGACATTGCAACTCTGTGATCACTGTCTCTCCCCACTGGCTGAAGGTAACTAAAACAACTGTAGTCTGTACCACAATGTCTATGCTCATAGATTTTTTTTTTCCTACCAGTGTGAATTGTTTATGATTTTAAAGGACCTTGGAAAAATTGAGAGCCTGACCACACTGTTTAAAGGTCTTTTTACTACAGGATGAGTTTTTCCTTGTGCTTGATATGAACAAGGACAAACAATGGCCTTTGTACATTCTTTGCATTGATAGAGGTTTTTTTCCCTCATTGAGTTTGTTGACATACTTGAACTGGAAAAATAAAAGACTTTTTAAAGTACCTTTTGAGGTCCATTGATGGTGTTATTTAGTTTACAAGTGTGTCTTTGAACACCTGGGAGAGAAATGAATATTTCATCACTTTATTTACATTTATTAGCTTCTCTGCCTGCTTCTCACACTCATATGGTTTGCATGGAATGCAATATAACATATCTACTAAGGGATGAGTTGCACATAAAAACTTTTCCACACACACTACATTCACATGATTTTATTCCATTAGGGATTTTCTTGTCCAGATTACGATTTGGCATCCAGATGAAGGTTTCACTATGCTGACCACTTTCTTTGATTTTACAGTCTCTCTTCCATATAACTTCTCAGATTTCACCCTGAATTGTTGGACTAGTCTTCCATGTTCTGGTTTTTCTTGTCTCTTCTACAAGCTGATTTCTGATGGTTTCCCACATCACATTTCTATAGAGACTCTTCTGGGAAAGATCAAGCAAAGACCACTCCTCCTAAGTGAAGTTTAAAGCCAAATGTTCAAAGGCCACTGACTCCTAAAACATTCCATCTCCTGGCTTCTCAGAGCCTCCTAGAATCCTCCCTAAAACTCCTGCAGTCAATGGAAGTCACAGTGTCACTAAAGTTGGACCACTTGGTTCCTTACTAAGCAGCAGAATAGGGATTCAGAGTATCTTCTTGTCCTCATAGGTTTGGCCTCCAACTTCCTAGCTCTTTTCTGCTCTTACCAATCTCAGGTCACACCCATCCCCGACTCTTGCAGCTTTGGTTCCTCCCAACTCTCCACTCTTATTAACAATAAGATCTCCATGTCCTTTCTCCTCTGCTGGCCCCATGGCAACACTTCAGTTCTGTGCCCATTTCCTTGACTAGGCTCCCACTCACCCTAGGATCTTAGCAAAGAGCTCCTACCAACCCTACCAGCTGCCCCTCCACAGCCAAGTCCAGGTGCTGGATAAGACCCCAGGCATTTAGAAAAGGAGCAACTTGACTGTGTGTGCAGGGCCTCAGGTGGTGTATGGAATGCAGAAGTAGAGATCCGCCCTACACCCACACTCTTGAGTCATAGGTGTTTCTGGTGTCTGGTCCCGGATTGTCTGGCGTTCATATTAAATCACTTGTGGAGGCTGCTGGAATGGTGGGTGCCACTCCAATATCTGACAGGTGAGAGAAGGCCATTCATACAGCTCACTCAGCCTGGGAGAGTGGAAGCATCACTTCCCCTTGGCAGGTGATCTGGCCCTGGAGAACCCAGGGAGTGCCACTGAGTGGGTTGGCTGTGATTACAGAAGCACGCCCCTGTGTTTTGCCCTGGCACTTATGAAGGATCTTCTTCCAGTGCTCCTTTCTGCCATAGTTGATTGCAGATGGGTCTCAATGCCCAACACAGAGGCCACAGTGAGTGTCAGAGACATGTCACATGTTGTGAAGCACACAGGTGAGTGGGACCTAGGGGGACAGAGGTTGTTCAATGGCTTCTTTTTGTAGGTGCTGGATCATTGAGTTGTAGCCATTCAGGTTCCATGAGCACAGGAAGCCAACGTATCTCACAGGAGCTGAGACAGAAGCATGTTCCTCAGGGACCTGGGTCCCACACTGAACGTTAGTTATCTCCTGGGGACTTGGTGCACATTTCCTCTAAATTCTGACCATCTGGCTTCAGAAGGGTCAGCTATTGGGCATTTTTTAAATTTTAAATTAAAATTACGTTTCAGTTTTGGGAATGAAGGCCAGATTGTCTCACATGGTAAGCAAGAGATCTACCACAGAGACACACCTCCAAACATGACAGCAATTTTCAAGGGCTCCAAGAGGACCGATCCATTGTCTGCCTCAGTGGTCTTCATTCCTCAGAAGCTGAATGCAATTCCCTTAATACAATGCCCTTCATGGGCTCCTCCTACTCATTAGAATACTACAGTATCTCGGGCAAAATTTGAGGAAATGAATGTTCCTGGATGGAAAGATGGAGTGAGCAAAGAAAAATACACAGAATTCACACACTTCACAGTTCTGCCCAACTAGTTGTTGGTCTGGGAATCACACACTATAATTTTCTCACCATCCAGCACATTTTATTTGTAGCTATTCCTTAAGAGACCTCATCTCCCTCTCTTGGCATCCTACTGCTTCTAGGACATTGTCCGCAAACGCAACTTTCTTAAGATGGAAAGTGGTGCATTTTGCTCATTCAGTACTCACATGTCTGAAAGATCAGCAGTCTTTCTAAATCAGAAGATAACTTTGTCATTTTTTTTCCAACTGAAATGACATGACTCATCAATTGGTACAGCATCTGGTTGGCATAATTGTAAATCTGTCGTTCTGACCAGCCAGATACCTAATTCAGACAGTAGAGGGGAGGCTATGAGGAGTGTTTGAGAAGTCCCTAAAGCGAGGCAGGGGCTGTTTACTGTTGGACTGAGTGTTTTGAGAGCAGTAAAGTCATGTTATCATGTCTTCATTGAATGTAAGTCTGCTCTAAGTCATTCTTCCCTTTCTTCTTCTGTCTCGAGGAAGTGAAATTGAACATTCTGAATACAGAATGACAAACAGTGTAAAGACAACCAGGACAATCCCTTCCCATGTATCGGAACATTTAAGAAAGGCCAACTCTGAAACTTGGGTATTATGGGGGAAAACCTGGGCTCAGTAGTCAGAATTATAATCTGACCAGAAGGACTGTACCTTGTACTTTCAGGCCTTATTCAATAAAATGGAGCTGCTGAGTACCTCTAAAGTGGCAGTGAGAGATAGTTTTCCTGAAAATTTTGAAGCCTAAGACCTAGGATGGTTTGATCTAATGAAAGGAGTAAGAAAATCAGAGAATTCTATCTCTTACCTGTGGCCTGTCTCTGTGGACCCTGAGTTTTCCCTTCTATAAAATAGGAATGACCATCTCTCCCAATTGTTCTAGGATTGAAATGAGTTTAGAGAGATTAGAAAAGATTGCTTTTTTTTTCATTCTGAACGGCCCAGAAGGTTGAAATCAATGCCTAGGAGTGGAGGGAGACTTTTGCGACTTGGGGTTTCCTAAGTGGCTGTTGTCGCCTTCTTCTAGTGATATTGAAGAGCCCCTTCAGAATGTTGCCCAAGTTCTTTTTGTTCCTTTCAAGGTAGTTCTCCTTGAAGCCACACCTCTCTTGTTTGGTTCTTGGTGCCAATGAATATTTAAGATCAGGAAGTGACACCATAGTAGACTTGGGGTCTGAGCCACCAGGTAGATAATGGAGCAGTGACTGATCCAGGAATCAGGGGATCCAATGCCTCAGTCAAGTTCCACCAGCAAGTTCTTATGTCATTGATGGTCACATTTCTGCCATCCTGAAGCTCTGTGACACAGACATGAATAGGTCGGGGTGCTTTGACTTCCTACAAGGAAAGGTGAAGGTGTCCTGAATTGTGACCTGAGCCCTAAAGTCCTGGTCCTGTTTTGTGAATTGTCAAATAAGTGGCTGTTCTAGATTCTTCTGAGTTGACAGTAATTTTGTGGCTTTCCTCTTTTTATGTTATTTGTTTCATTTTGTGGCTTTTCTGACAATTTTAAGTGATAGTTACTTGCCTCTTGTCAGTTCCCACTCTGACCTCTCTTAGCTTCAGGTTACATTGCTTGTTTGTTTTTAGCAGGCTGTTACCGATCCAGAGCACCTTTACTGATAGCTCCTCCTACTGAATATTGTTCCTCTTCACTAATTAGTTTAAAAGGCTTTAACAGACACAGACTATTATTTCAATAGTTGAAGTCTAAGCTCTAGGGTCCTAGCTTTGCCGCTGTCTGAGAAAAGGGCGACTCTAGAGATCAAGAGTGTCTAGGACTGGCAGGCATGCCAGAGGAGTGAAGAGTGGGGTATTGGCTGGAGATTCGCAAAGAAAAGGGACCAACTGACGGTGAAATCACAGGATCACAAGGGGATAGGCCCGTCCTATCCTAGAGATGGCACAGAAGGGGACACGAGCGTTCATAGGAAGAATGAGAATCAGACTGCTGGTGGCTGCCTGCAGTGATTAACCCGACTACACAGCTCCTGTCTGTACAGCAAAGCCTCCAGGCGCGCCCGAAGATTCCAGGCCTCGGCCACCAGGCAGGAGGTCTGATTTGTCCTTTGCCCTCAGGCAAAGAACAGCATCCAGGAACAGATCTTCCAAGGTCCAGCAGCCGTTTGCCGCCCAGGAATCCCGGGGAAAAAAGGGGGTCCAACAAGGACCGGAAGGGCTTCTGCCCTCATCTACCTTGGCGGAGCGCGGGGCGGGGTTGTTGGGAGGAAGCGGCCGTGGGGTGATTGATACCAGTACTGCATCTCTGCGCCACGGCAGCTTCCACCTCCCTGAAGCGGCTCGATCCGCGGGACGCCGCAGCGCTTTTCGAGACTCACGGGGCGGAGGAAATCCGCGGGCTAGAGCGCCAGGTTCGGGCCGAGATCGAGCACAAGAAGGAGGAGCTGCGGCAGATGGTGGGCGAACGGTACCGCGACCTGATCGAGGCGGCCGACACCATCGGCCAGATGCGCCGCTGCGCCGAGGGGCTGGTGGACGCGGTGAAGGCCACCGACCAGTACTGCGCCCGCCTCCGCCAGGCCGGCTCGGCCGCGCCCCGGCCCCCGCGGGTCCCGCAGGTCAGTCCCGCAGTCCGGCCGCGGAGCCGCCGCCTGCAGCGCCGCCCTCACCTCCGGCAGGGAGCGGCGCAGGCCGGCCTTCCTCGGGCTGCTTGGTCCCTTCGCGACGTCGTGGACACTGTCTTCTGGAGCCGTCCGGACTTCCGGCCCCGATCCGCTCACCGCAGTCGGGCTCCCCGTTAGGGCTGAAAGCGCCCGAGGACTCGAGTTCAGCTCTTTCCCGAATTCACCACCTCCTGACGTTTTCCATGGAACAGATTTCCCCCTTATGTTCACACCTTCCCCTCAAGCCATTCATTCTTCATCCCAGCCTTCCCCTGACCCGCCCCCCGGAGTAACTTCACCCTGCCGGGTGGCATGCCAGCCTTTGGGAGTTGGAGGGGGGAACCAGGCTGCAGGCCCTGACCTTTGAGTACTCGCACGTGTTCATGGTAGGGAGCTAGGGCTCTTCCAATTCGGGTCTCCCTGTCTTCTTTCCCCCAGACACTAATGATAAGGCCCAGCTAGGAAGGATGTGGGAATAAATACCGAGCAGCCTCTGGCCTCCCTGAAGAATGTGGACCTAGGGATGAGTAGACTGAAGGGCGTGGAGATGAAACAGGTGTGGGAAGCATTTGTGCTTAACCTTGACAACTTACTGGACTCAGAAGAGGAAATTGCAAAAGTACCTCTAGCTCCCATGTGGAACCTTTTCGTGCTACCTGGGCTGCAGAAAAACCCAGGCCACTGAGTGATATAACACAATAATGGAAATCCTTTGGAAAATTTTGAAATGAGTGACTGCATCCCTCCCCTGGGCTGTGTATTGAATACATGTCCTCTTGCATATGGCTAGATATTGCTATAACTGAACATACTTCCAGCCTTATAAAAAGGCTAATTTGTGTTACGCCTGATTTTAGAAATGTATTGATTTTCACAGTTGTACCTCCAGTTTGTAGTCACCCCCCACCCCAAAATTTGAGTGCCTTCTCTGTTCAATTCACAAAAAAGCAGAAGTCCCCTAATTTCTGCTCTGGTTCATCCTACCGATACAGTCAAGGATATAAATCCAGGGAAAGTTGACAAGAAATAAAAAAGTAATGTAGAATAGCTGTAGGAAATATTTTGGGATAAATGATTATTTTTCAAAATAACTGTATCCATTTTTCATATGAGTTGTGAAGAAAGTCACTTTCAGATTGGGTCCTCTGGGTGGAAAGATCTTAAGGACAGATAAGATTTGGAATATGGCTGTTTTAGTCAGTTTATGTTGCTATTAAAAAAACCTGAGAATAGGGCTGGGGATTTAGCTCAGTGGTTCTGGAGCCTGTCTCACGAGTGCAAGGTCCCGAGTTCGAACCTGAGATTAGATAATTCATCAAACTTTTTTTAAACATAATCCTGGGGTCTGGGAAGTCCAAAGTCAAGGCAGTGGCATTTGGACATGATGAGAGCCTTCCTGCTGTATTATCACATGGTAGAAAGGGGGACCATAAAAAGGCCTAAGCTAGATCCTGACAACCTTTTTATAAGGCAGTAATCCTCCATGAGGGGATGGCTCAGAGGGTAGATGAAGATGAGAGGCTTGAAGACTCAACAAGGTGAAGATTTTGTAGAGCTACTGAAGGACAGTTAAGAAGCTCTCAGAAAAATAGGACAAAATAGTAAGGTTGAACATCAGAAAAGCAAAGAGGATTCTTACAGGAGAGGTGGCCCACAATGCTCCCTGCCATCGAGACATCAAAAGGATGGGAACATCAAGAGAATCACTTGTGGCTGGAAGTGGTGGCACACCTTCCCAGCACACTGGCAGCCTGAAGCACGATGATCACAGCCTGAACAACATACAGTATTGACTTGGCAAGACCATGTCTTAAAAAAAAAAAGGCAGAGATGTAGCTTAGTGTGAAGGTCCTAGGTTCAATTCTCAGGACTGCCAATAAATATAAATAAAAAGGAACATTGTTAACCAGGTGGTGAGATGAAGGATTACATCAGACTTCGACTTCTTGCTAAATTGCATTCAATTGGCTTATGAAAGCTTTAAAGCTGAAAATATCCCATCCTCTCCCTGGGCCTGCAGAACATTGACCTTGCTTTTATTTACTGTTCTTTATTATACCCTTCCCTGCAGTCATAGCAATAGATCCTGGAGAAGTTATAAAGCATGGCTGCCAGGATCAAGCTGCTATAGAAATTCCTGAGAAGATCTGGCGCTCCATGGAAGCCTCTCAGTATCTCCATGCCACACAGCTCTACCTGCTCTGCTGCCACCTTCACAGCCTGCTCAAGCTGGATTCTTCCAGTCCTAACGCAGTTCAATCCTCTCCCAATTTCCTATACTCTCCACCAGGTGGCAGCAGCCAGCCGGTAAGTGGATTCCGCAGAAAAATCTCTGGTGATGGCCAGGTCTCACCACTGCAATTTTATGGAATCTGTCTTCTGGATATACCCAAGCTCTTCACCCATGATGTTAAAAATTTCCCGTTGACCTTTGTTGTCCTCTTTCTAGGTCAATCATTCTGCACTAAAGCAAGATTCTGCACAAATGCCCAGCTGTGTCTGACCAAGCTGTGGGAGAGGCCCTCTGCTCCATAATGCTTTCAAAGGAGAGTTCTCTTACAGACTTCCCGATGGCCAGAAAAGCAACGATTCAGACATTTCTCAACAATCCCAACCATGGTGTGTGTGGCTTTCCAAAATTTAATTCTTAATAAAGCATAAGATGGAGCAGGGTGAGCAGAGGGAGACGGGAGCATCCAGAGGGCTCTGTCTTTAACTTATTAATGGAAATTGTTTAGAAAGGATGATTTCTTCTCACAGGTTCTGGTATCAAGGCCGAGTTTTGCTCATTAGTGGAATTGCTGGCCACCACTCTGAACCAAGCACACGCCCTTTTCTACACTCTACCAGAAGGGCTGCTGCCAGATCCATCTCTGCTACGCGGCCTGCTCCTCTCTACTCTGGAGACTGTCACAGGCCAACATCCTACTGGTGAGGACTTTTATTTTTCAGTTACATATAAAATGTGTTTATTTATTTTTCTTCTTTTATTTCTTTTTTTCACCTTTTTAATTAATTATGCATTTTTGTTAGTACATGTTTGCAGTAGATAATGATTACATTTATTGTGGTCAATTTGTACACATACATAACACATCTTAATTTTTTTTGTCTCCTTCCCCCATTCCTTCCTGCTCTCTCCAACTCTCCAACTCTGTCTTACTTTTCTTGTTGCTGAGACAAAATACCCGACACCCATGAGTTAAAGGAGGAACAGTTTATTTCAGCTCACAGTTTGTAGAGGTTTCAATCCATAGTTGCCTAGCTCCAAGGCTGGGCAGCATGATAGAGGCCTAGCAGAGGAGAAACAGTCCATGGCAGGCAGGGAGAAGGCAGCAAGCAGTGAACCCTTCTGGACTTTTATCCCATCTAGGTTACAAACCTACTGGATGGTGCCCCCCACACTATCCAGTGTGGGCCTTCCCATTATCCACACCCAGAACTATGCCATACAAATGTATCACATACCCTGATCCAACATCACACACTGATGATCCAGCCACCTCCCAAAGACCTCACCTATGAGCACATGAGGCTTTGGAGCACATATAGATACAAGCCATAACAATCCCCTTTCCATTTGATAAAGATCTATTTCCATTTTTTTCTTTGATTCTCTTTTTGTAATCCTTTTTCATTTCCTTCCTTGCACCTTCCATCTCTTTCTCATCTCCCACTTGAAAAAAATTTCCCTAGTTCTTATTATCTATCCTTTATTTTGCTGTCTATATTTTGAGTTTCTCAGATGAGACAAACCATGTGACATTTAAACTTGTGTGTCAGATTTATTTCACTTAGGATTATGGTCTGACAGTGCATCCATTTGCTTACAAATAACTCAAGTTTATTCTTCTTTATGATAGCATAGTACTCCATTGTGTACAAATACTACATTTTCTTTATCCATTGATCTATTAATGGACATACAGGCTGTTTCCAATACTTCGCTTATTAAGAATTATGCTGCTATAAACAGGGGCATTAGGTATCATTATAATATGATTTTTTTAACTCTTTTACGAAGATTCCTAGAAGGGGAATAGCTAGATCATATGAAATTTCTATTTTTAGGTTTTTAATGAATTTCCCTCATGATTACACTAGTTTACATTTCCATCAACAATGTGGAGGGGTTCCTTCCCCCCGCACCGCAGCCTTGCCAACATTTGTTAGTATTTGATTTCTTGATGATAGCCATTCTTTCTAGAGTAAGATGGTATCTCAGTGTTGTTTTAATTTGCATTTCTCAAATAGCCAGTAATGTTGAACATTTTATCATATATTTATTGGCTATCTGTACTTCTACTGAGAAGTATCTATTCATTTCAGATGTCCATTTTTTAATTAGGTCTTTTATTTGGGGGTGTCTAATTTTTTTGAGTTTTTTTATGTACTCTAGATGTTAATCCTCTGAGCAATAACTGGCAAAAATTTTTTCCCATTCTGTAAGTTGTCTTTTCACTCTGTTGGTTGTTTCCTTTGCTGTGTAGAAGGTTTTTGCTATGGCCCCATTTATTGATTCTCAGTATTGTTTCTTGTGCCATTGGGGTTTTGTTCAAAAAGTCCTTGTGTATGCCTATGCCTTCAAGACTTACACCTATTTTATATTCTAGCAGATTAAGTATTTTTGTTTTAACATTTAGACTTTTTTTTTTTGGTACCAGGGATCAAACTCAGGGACTTGTGCTTGCAAGCCGGGCAGTGGCACCACTGAGCTAAATCGCCAGCCCAACATTTAGATTTGTGATCCACTTTTATTTTAGTTTAGTATATGATGAGATATCTGGGTCTAGACAGTCTTCTGCCTGTGGATATCCACTTTTCTCAGCGCTATTTATTAAAGAGGCTATCTTTCCTCCAGTGTGTTTTTTAACCCATTGTTGAAGATCGTAGTTGAATGTGTCTGGGATTGTTTCTGCTTCCCCTATTCTGTGCCAGTGATCCACATTTCTGTTTTTGTGCCAGTATCGTGCTGTTTTTATCACTGTAGCTTTGTCATATAACTTCAAATCTGGGATTGTAGTGTCTCTTGCTTTGCTACTGTTACCCAGAATTGCTTTTGCTCTTCTAGGTCTTTTCTGCTTCCATATGAATTTTTGGATTGTTTTCTCTAGATCTGTGAAGAACGCTGTTGATATTTTTATTGAGATTGTGTTAAATCTATATATGAGTTTTGGAAGTATAGCCATTTGGACCATATTAGTTCTGCTTATCTTGGAACATGGGATATCTTCCATTTTCTGATGCCCTCTTCAATCTCCTTTTTCAGAGTGATGTAATTTTTGTTGTTGAGATCTTCACTTTTTTTTTTTCTTTTCTTTTCTTTTTTGTACTGGGGATCAAACTCGGGACCTTCCACTTGGGAGGCAGGTGGCAGCACCACTGAGCTAAATCCCCCGCCTGAGATCTTCACTTTCTTGGTTAGGTTAATCCCTATGTTTTTAATTTTTCTTGATGTTATTGTTTTCCTAATTTCTTTCTCAGTGAGTTCATTATTAGTGTATAGGAATGCTATTGATTTTTAATATTGCTACACTACTGAATTTGGTTATTCCAGGAGTCTTTTAGTGGAATTTTTTGGGTCTTATAAGTAGAGAATCATGTGATATGCAAATAATGATTCTTTGACTTTTTTCTTTTTATATTTATCCCTTTCCTTTCTTTCTCTTGCCTGACTGTTCTGGTTAATGTTCGGGGGACTATGTTAAACAGGAGTGGTAATAGTGGACATCCTTGTCTTGTTCCTGATTTTAGAAAGAAAGCTTTCAGCTTTCCCCCCATTTAATACAATGTTTGTGGAAGGTTTGTCATGTCTGACTTTTATCAGATTGAGATAAAGTCCTTCTATAACCTATTTTCTTCAGGGTTTTTATCATGAATGGATGTTGAATTGTCAAAGGCTTTTTCTGTGTCCATTGGGATGATTGAGGGATTTTTGTCCTTCTGTTTATGTGATGAATTATATTTATTGATTTGCATATGTTGAACCATCCTTGCAACACTGAGATTAAGTCTACTTAGTCATGGTATATGATCTTTGTGATGTTTTACTGCAGTTTGCTAGTATCTTGTTGAAGATTTTTGCATCTATGTGCATTAGAGATATAGGCCAATGGTTCTCTTTTTTTGGTTGGATTCATTGCCTGTTATTAAATTATTCAAAGTTTTTAAGTTTTCTTGGTTCAGTTTTACTAATTCATATGTATTCCCTTTCTTCTGAGTTTTCCAAATTATTTTTGTATAGGTCGGTGAAGTACAGCAGTTGATAATATTCTGGATTTTGCTCCATTGTGATTTCACCTTTTTCATTTCTAGTTGAATATATTTGTGTCTTTCATTTTTTTTGATAAGATGGACTAAAGGTTCATCTAATTTGTTTATTCTTTCAAAGATGCAGCTCTTTGATTCATTGATTCTTTGTATTCTTTTTTTAGTCTCCACTACATTGATTTGTGCTCTCATCATTGTAATTTCCTTCCTTGTATTAGCTCTGGATTTGGATTGTTCTTATTTCTCTGGGACCTTGGGGTGCATCATTAGGTTATTTAGGCTTGCTCTGTTTTTGTGATATGGGCATTCATAGCTATAAACTTCCCTCTCAGGGATTGCTTTCATTATTTCCCATAAATTCTGGTATGTTGTAGTGGAATTATCATTTAATTCTAAGAATTGTATTATTTCTTATTTTCATATGTGGCTCATTGATTATTCAAGAGTGTGTTGCTTAGTTTCCATATGTTTGGTTAAATTCTGTGGAGTCTTTTGCCACTGATTTCTAGTTTCATTGCACTGTGATCTGATAATATGCATAGTAAAATTTCAGTTCTTTTGCATTTACTTAAGCATGCTTCATTATGTGGTATATTTTGGAGAAAGTTCCACATGCTGACAAGATGTATTCTCTTGTTGGGTAGAATAGGCGCTCTCTCTCTCTCTCTCTCTCTCTCTCACTATATATATATATA